AGAGGAAATGATGATAATGATAATGATAGTAATAAGAGGAAATGAGGATGATAATGATAATGATAGTAATGAAATGAGATGATGATAATGAAAGAAATAAGAGGAAATGAGGATGATAATGATAAAGAATAATGATGAGGATGATAATGATAAACGTATAATAATAATGATAACAATTATGATGACGATGGTGTTAATAATATAATGATGAACACATCAATGATAATATAAATAATGATGGTAATAATGATAATGATGATAATAGAATGTTAATAATAAAAATAGTAAGAACAATGATACTAATATAATGATGAACACATCTATGATAATATAAATAATGATAATGATGATAATAGAATGTTAATAATAAAAATAGTAAGAACAATGATATTAATCAGTGGCGGGTCCTGAGAATTTTCTGGTGGGGACACAGGGGGTAACACCAATAAATCTGGCGGGGCCGCCCAAAAGAAACAAAAATTAAGACTGCCTACTTCAATATTTATATTGTACAGTTACACATTGTTTATATTTTTATCTTGCTGTGTGATTATTATATATTATTATTTGTTAATATTATATATATATATATATATATATATATATTATATATAAATATATATTAATATATAAAGGGTCAATGACTCTTGGGTGGGGGGGGCACACGGGGTGGCCAATCAGACTGCAATGGGGGCGGGTGCCACCATGGAAGACCATGGAAGACCCGCCTCTGATACTAATTTGAATGTTGAAACTGAAAACAGTATTTGGAATAGTAATAGTAATAATACCCCCCAAAAAGAAAGGAAAAAATGCACTAATGATAATGATAATGATATTTATGATAATAATAACAATGGTATTAATAATGATAGCAATAATAATAGTAGTGATGCTAATAATATTAATAATAATAACAATAGGAATAACAGTAATGAAAATAATAATGATAGAATAATAATAACAATAATATTAATAAAGATAACGGCAGTAATAATGATAATAATAGTGAGAAAAATAAAAATAGTAGTAATGATGATAATGATAATAGTAATAGTGGTAATAACAGTAAAATGATAATCATAATGATAATAATGATAATAATAATAATGATAATATGATAATAATAATGATGACAATAATAGTAATAATGATAATAATAATAATAATAATAATAATAATAATAATAATAATAATAATAATGATAATAATAATAATAATAATAATAATAATAATAATAATAATAATAATAATAATAATAATAATATAATATAATAATAATAATGATGATAATAATAAATAATGCTGATAACAATACTGATAATGATGATAATGATAATATTAATGAAAATAATAAACATGGTAATGATAATAGTTGTAATGATAAAGATAGTAATAGTAATTAAAACAATAATATTGATAATGGTAATGTTAACAACAGGAATGATGATATTTAATAATAATAATAATAATGATAATTAAAATGGCAGTAATAATAATGATAATAATTATAGTAATAATGACAGTAATGATAGCAACAACAACAAATAATAATGATAATGATAATGATAAAATAGTGCTGCTGCTGATAATTTGGATAGTAAAAGTATAAGATGATGGCGATAATAACACAAATAATAATAATGATGCGAACTTTAGTAATATCAACAATGACAAATATAGTGACGATAGTAATAATAAAACGAATATTATCATAACAATAGTGAAAACTACGAAAATATCGTTGTGATAATGATAATAACAATAATAGAAATATTATAAAATTACAATGATAATAATTCTAAAGATAACAATAATAATAAGTACAATAACAATAAAAGCAATATCAATAAAATTGATGATAATGATAATAATGATACTGATAACAAAATAATGATAATAGCAACGAGAGTGACAATGATTATAATAGTGATAAAATAATAATAATAATAGTAAAAATTATGATATTATTAATGACAGCATTAATGATAACCGCAATGTTAATGATAATAATTGTTATAATAATAGTACCAATGATAATGATACTGACATTAACAATATTATAATGCTAACAGCCATGGTAATCGTAGTGAAAATATTTCAAGTGATAATGATAATGACAATATAACAATTATGCTAACAATGATAATAGAAATAATTATAATGGTAATGACAATAATAATGATGATAACAATGATAATGGTAACAATGGTGATAATCATAATAATATTAATCACGATAATGATAAAGGTAAGAGTAACAACAATTCTTTTTATTCCCCTCTTTCTTTTTTCTGTCTCTCTTTCTCTTTTTCTCTTGATTTGTCTGTCTGTCTCACTCCTTTTATCTCTCTCCCTCTGTCTCTTCGTGTCTGTCAGTCTCTCTCTCTCTCCCGGTTACTTTTTCTGTCCGTCTGCGTCTCCCTCTCTCCAATCTCCAATCGCTCTCTCTCTCTCTCTCTCTCTCTCTCTCTCTCTCTCTCTCTCTCTCTCTCTCTCTCTCTCTCTCTCTCTCTCTCTTCATCCGCCCTCGCCCTCTTTCTCTAAATATATAATAATAGTAGTAGTTGTAATGATAATAACAATACAAGTAGTAATGATAATAATGATTATTATGATAATAATGATAATAATGATGAGGATGATAATGACCATGATGATGACGATTATAATGAGAAAGATAACAGGAACAATAGTAATAATAGTGAAAATGACTCTAATATTAATAACAACAATAGTAACGATAATAACGATAACAATAAGAATAGTAATGATAATACTAAAAATAACAATGATGTTGATAATGATGGTTAGCTGGTTAGCAGGAGAACTCAAGAAGCTATGAACATATTTTTATGATTTGTATTACTATTTATTTATCTATTATTTATTAATTATTATTATTATCATTATTACTTTTAGTTATTTAGTTATTTATTTAGTTATTTATTAATTATTATTATTATTAATTATTTTGTTATCTTTTTTTACCAGAGTTGAGTCTTAGCCCAGCTTAGATGACATTAAATTTTGGAGGTGATCCGGATCATTGTCCGGAGGGTGCAGGGTAAAAAAAAAAAAAAAAAAAAAGATCCATTAGAATTAAAGAGGTAAACGCGAACGTTACCAGCGTACTTGAGAAAGGGATGACTTCAATGTAATTCTTCAAGCGTGAATATTTTTATTGGATCAGTGACCCTGCTACCTTGGCGGAGGTATGCGCTCTCTGAGTCCTTGTAGTTATTGCTGTCATTATAATAATAAGGGGGGTGTGGGTGGAGGTGAGCTGGAGTTGGGTAAGAAGGGGGTGTGTATGTATGGGGCGTGTGGGTGGAGGAGGTTGGGTATGGACGGAGGTGTTAGTGGAGGAGGTTGGGAGTGGGAGTGGATAGAAGGATATATGCGTGGAGTAGCTGGAGGCGATTCTGCAGCGGTGCCACAGCATATCGTTGCAGCGATCCAACTGTTCAATGATGATGCGGATATTATTATTATCACTGTTATTAACATTATCTTTATTATTATTATTATTATTATTATTAGTATTATTATTATTATCATAATCATCATTGATATTATCGTTGATATGATAATGATAGCGATACTATCAATCCTAATATTGCTACTAATATCGCTAATATGAATGATGATAAGTATAACGATAATGGAATAAAACCAATGATAACGATAACTATAATCACCTATAAGTCGAAAACAGCAGACATGCTGCTAATGCCAGTGGTGGTAACACCAATATGTTTTATTGGTGAAAATAACGATCATAAAATGATAAAATGATAAAAAGAGCTAAGTGGTAAGTGATGTCAACATAATTACGACCATTATCATTTTTCTTTATTATTCATCGGTATTATTATTACTGTTATTGTGTGTAATAGGGTTTTTATTATCATTGTTATCATTATCAGTAACAGTTTCATGGTCATTATTGTAATATTTATGACTATGACATTTATCATTACTGTCGTTGGCGTTATTAGTGATCATCATCATTATAAATATCAACACTTTACCACCATTTTAATGTTACTCCTTTATTGAATAATATCACTAATGTAATGGAAGGCTCTGTTATACTGATGCCAGTAAGTTTCCGTAACATAGAGAAATTATTCTAATACCCATTTTCATACTGTAATGCAGCTTTTGGTATCTCCTTTTACTGTTATTGTTCAACATGTTAAACTGCGAATCTCGGAAAATTTCCAGGGATGAAGTATACAAAAATAACTCGCAAGTTTAATTATTATTTTTTTTCTCTCTTTTAAATGCGTGTCTATGTAGCTATAATAAAGTTTACTTGTGCCTTTTAACAATATATACAATAAATATCTGTTGCTGGGAAACTTACGGTTTTTAATTGCAATACTGTTGAATAATTTGTGTTATGAGTTTTCCGTGCGATGAAGTATTATTAATTGATAACGGGTTTTAATGATTAATATTCTCTTTTTGTCACATGCATATATCCGCAATGCTTTTTAGTCATTTTTCAACACTATACACAATAAACATCACCTGAGTCTACTCACATATTAGTAGTTACGAAAGAGAAATAATCAATCGCAAGTGAAATCAAACTGCTTGTCTCACATTTAAAGAACTTTTAATTTTCTAGATCCGTTAAAAACACTTTACTGGTAAATGCGTTAGAACACATCTGCTGTTGTTAGGGAAAGCAAGTTTTAAATTGTAATACAAATGAAAGATATCATGAAGCATATATATAGTTACTAAGGATGAAGTACAATGCAAAAGTAAATCGTGTTTTACTTTTTTGATTTTTATTTTTTACATGCATGGCTATACATCTATAGTTATGGTTTCTTATGATTTTCAGTAATATATACAATAAATATCATACGTCTCCTTACACTACAGTATGGAATCGATATGAAGTCTGCAAAAGAGAAGCAACAATCGACTTCCAAATCCAGTTTTCGCGCTGACGTCGGACATTTGGAAGAGCAAATGCGCTTCTCAGTTGTCGAAGGTGAGGACGTAACCGACCTTGTGTGGGTTCTTGGTGGCGTCGTACTGACGCAGCTGGAATCCTGGTCCGGAGGTTGACCTGAATCCTCCGGCGGACGAAGAGGACGTGGAGGCAGCAGCAGAAGGATATCTCGGGGACGACGCAGTACTAGCGGTGTAAGTGGAAGGGCTTGAGGGCGAGTGTAATGTTGGAGCTGAGGAGGAAGGGGACGAGGAGCGGAAGGGCGAAGCACCACGAGACGCGGAGACTTGTTCCTTCTCGAATCCTACACCTTTTCCGGCGCGGAAACGGTAAGTGCGGCGTGTTCCTTGGTCGTCGAGCAGCGTGTAAGTTCCCTGGACGTTCCCGTCGGCGTCGGCTGACTCTGAGCGAGAGTATTGGTCCGAGTCGAAGGCGAAGCTGTAGGAGGCATCAGCGTTGGTGTCTGCGAGAGGGTCGACGAAGGGAGTTTTGTCGTACTGGAACAATCCTCCCAGTTGGCTGACCGGATGGTGCCCCGGGAACCTCAGGTCCTACGGGAATGTGAGCTCCTTCAGCAATGAATCCCGTATCAGATCCAGCTTCATAGCTGATAGCTCTTGATTGGCCGTCATCTGCTACAAAGGCGAAGTTGCCGTCAACATTGTTATCTGCGTCGCCAGACTCTGCTCGGGAGTGAGTGGGAGTCTGGTAGGAGAAGGAATAGCTGCCATCAGGACGCGTTTGAGTGCGCGTGTTAGCTTCTCCGAATGGACGTCCAGTGGCGATCCTGGAGGGGGAGGAGGCTGAACCCGAGTCGGAATAGCTGTGACTTGAAGGACGAGAGAAGGTGGAGGCGGCAGGGCCAGACTTGAGGGAAGGAGTGTGAGAAGCAAAGGAAGTTGCTGCGGGTCTAGAGGCGGAATGAGGTTGAGGAGCAGTAGGAAGGTGGTCTCCCGAAGCCTGGAATCCTCGGTTGGCACCTGCTTCGTAGTTAACATTTCGTGTGACTCCGTCATCTGCTACGAAGGAAAAGTGTCCTTGGACGTTGAGGTTTCCATCAGCAGATTCGGCTCTGGAGTGATCCCCGGCGTCAAAAGAGAAGGAATACGAGCCATCTGGGTTGGCGGCGCTCTGCCGAGAAGAGGCGGCTCCTCCTGCAGAGGGAGAGGCGCCAGCACGAGTGGCTGGAGAAGCAGCAGAGGAGCCAGCGATGTGAGAGGAGGCCCCTGGAGTGGCCGAATATCCAGTTCCCAGGCGAGAGAGAGAGAATGGAGTTCCAGAGGAAAGTCGAGTGGCGGCGGGAGTGGAGTTGGAGTCTTGTGGCGCGGTAGGAAGATCACTGCCTTCCACACGAAACCGGTGCCTCTGCCAGCAGTGTAGGAGTAAGTGCGAGTGCGACCTTGGTCATCGGTGTAAGAGTAAGAGCCACGCACGTTGCCGTCAGAATCACTGTGCTCGGAGCGAGCGTGAGCTTGTCCTTCAAAGTCGAATCCGTAGGAAGCATCTGCGTTTGGATCGGCTAGAGGGTCGACGAAAGGAGCGCGTGCGCGAGCTTGGGCGTGCGCAGACTCGAAATCTGGATGCGTGGCGGGAAGGTGAGCACCCTGAGGGACGAAGCCTCCCTCACCTGCCTCATAGTGAAGGCTAATTGGCTTGCCATCGGGAGCCACATAGCCGAAAGAACCTCGTTGCTGTCCTGGCGTAGATGATCGTGCACTCTCGAAGGCTCCCTCTCCGGTGTCATGACCGTACTTGTAGGTGCCATCACTGTGCAGGACGTAGTACTGGGAACGTCTGCCGGTTCCTACTTGAGGAATCCTGTAGGCACTTTCATCGGGGCGAGGCAAGCTTAGTGTGCTAACCGTAAGGACGGACAACAGCGCCTGAAAAAAAGAAAAGAAAAAAAAAAAAAAAACGATTATTTGAACTGAAAGGTTAAAGGGCATGAGATGTAGATCATATGGACAAATCATTTCATATTACATCAAATCTAGTTAACTTTGAAATATGAGCGTGAAAAGAGAGAAAGGCGAAAAGGAGAGCTTATCGAGTTGTTTACCAAGCTCATCCAGGCAGCCATGGTGAATGGCAGGGTGAGGGAAGTGAGCGGGGAGGCGCTTCGGCAGGGTGTGCTTGGCGAAGGCGGCTCCTGCCCTTTATATTCCCGGGCGAGGGTGGGGTGGGTGGGCGGCCCTGATACGGTGACCCGTTAGTTTCTGGATCAACTTGAACTGAGACAGATTTCATGGCCCCTTTTCAAGGTGCTCTGTTGATGCGCCTTTTCAGTTGGCCGGGAAGGAATTCAGAGAGTATTATTATTTTTCTTTACATTGAAGAACTAATCATTCTGTTCACTCCTACTAAGCTGCATACCTGCATACCTTTGTAATGATAGTGAAATTGATATATGACGGAAATGCCAAGGACTCATACTTCCACATGGGATGAAATGCAGTAGTTATCAGATTAACATGTTATTTGCTTATGCAGATCATAATACAGCAACTGTGAATATAAAAGAATTGCAATTGCAAAACTAGATTGCGTGACCTATACCGTTACAGATGCGATAAGTAATGATACCGATACCACGAAAGTAAGTTTGATAAAGATAATGAAAATTGTAATAACCACGATAATAACACTTATGATGATATAAATAGGAACCTGAACTACAACAGTAATGCTGATATGAAATTGTAATAAACCTTAGAGAACAATGACAATGGTAACATCAATAATAACAATAATTAAAGAACAATGATTAAAACAGTAACTTCTGCCACCAACTCCAACAATGGAAATGACAACAAAAGCGTAGTAACTCTTTTGTTGTCATGACATAAAGGTGAGTACCAATGAAATGGTTGTCTTAAAAGTGATGATGCCTCTGGCCCCGTTTTCAAAGGGCTCTGTCGATGCGGCATTTCTGTCCGGCGCGAAAGGAGTACGCAGCAAGTAGTTATAATGGGAATGATAATAACTATAGTAGTAATGATAACGATAGCAGTAACAACAATAAGGATGAAAATGAAATAGGAAATTACAACAGTGATAGTAATAATGATATTATTAGTTATGATGATTTTGATGATTATAGAATAATGACATGACTAATACGAGAGTAAGTAGTGACAGTAAAAGTAAAATCAATTATGGTGATGGATAGTGTTGATGGGGCTACATTTAAATGCAATTTCTGCTACTGATACTGCCTCTGCTGGTGCTTTAATCATAGCAACATGTACTGTTGCTCCTAATGATGGCGATGGAAATTAAAGAATAGTAAAGATTATATAAATGACATTTGGGATTGAAATGATAATGGATCAATAACTGATGTTAATTATGGTAATGATAATGACGATAATGATGATTATGATAATGATGGTAATGAAGGTAATGATAAAAATGGCAGTGATGATGATAACAATAATTACAATGGTGGTGATTATGAGAATAATATCATGATTACAAATATGATGATACTTATGACGATGACATTGATAGTGATAGATTAATTCTGATGGAAATAAGAGATTTAGTCTAACTATAGATATCCCTTACATGAAAACCAAATGATTTTGATAATTATAATAATGCTGATGATAATGATGATAATGAAAATAATAATAGTAATGCTAACAAATACAACAACGGTGATAAAAATAAAGATAATGATAATAATAGCAATGACAGTAGCAATGCTTACAATAGTAATAATAATAATAATGATGATGTCAATAATAAAGATAATAATTATAGTAATAATGATAAAAGGGATAGTACTAATGACAGTAACAATAATTTTCGGAACAATACTGATGACAAAAAAAAGACGATGATAATGATAATGATAGTAAAGGTGATGATAATGATAATGATAGTAATAAGAGGAAATAAGGATGATAATGATAATGATAGTAATAAGAAGAAATGAGGATGATAATGATAGTAATAAGAGGAAATGAGGATGATAATGATAATGAAAGAAATAAGAGGAACTGAGGATGATAATGATAAACGTATAATAATAATGATAACAATTATGATGACGATGGTGTTAATAATATAATGATGAACACATCAATGATAATATAAATAATGATGGTAATAATGATAATGATGATAATAGAATGTTAATAATAAAAATAGTAAGAACAATGATACTAATATAATGATGGACACATCTATGATAATATAAATAATGATGTTAATAATGATAATGATGATAATAGAATGTTAATAATAAAAATAGTAAGAACAATGATATTAATCAATGGCGGGTCCTGAGAATTTTCTGGTGGGGACACAGGGGGTAACACCAATAAATCTAGCGGGGCCGCCCAAAAGAAACAAAAATTAAGACTGCCTACTTCAATATTTATATTGTACAGTTACACATTGTTTATATTTTTATCTTGCTGTGTGATTATTATATATTATTATTTGTTAATATTATATATATATATTATATATAAATATATATTAATATATAAAGGGTCAATGACTCTTGGGTGGGGGGGGGGGGCACACGGGGTGGCCAATCAGACTGCAATGGGGGCGGGTGCCACCATGGAAGACCATGGAAGACCCGCCTCTGATACTAATTTGAATGTTGAAACTGAAAACAGTATTTGGAATAGTAATAGTAATAATACCCCCCAAAAAGAAAGGAAAAAATGCACTAATGATAATGATAATGATATTTATGATAATAATAACAATGGTATTAATAATGATAGCAATAATAATAGTAGTGATGCTAATAATATTAATAATAATAACAATAGGAATAACAGTAATGAAAATAATAATGATAGAATAATAATAACAAAAATATTGATAAAGATAATGGCAGTAATGATGATAGCAAAAATAATAGTGAGAAAAATAAAAATAGTAGTAATGATGATAATGATAATAGTAATAGTGGTAATAACAGTAAAATGATAATCATAATGATAATAATAATAATAATAATGATAATATGATAATAATAATGATGAGAATAATAGTAATAATGATAATAATACTACTACTACTAATAATAGTAATAATAATAATAATAATAATAATAATAATAATAATGATACTACTACTACTACTACTACTACTACTACTACTACTACTACTACTACTACTACTACTACTAAAAATAATAATAATAAATAATAATAATAATAATGATAATAATAATAATAATGATGATAATAATAAATAATGCTGATAACAATACTGATAATGATGATAATGATAATATTAATGAAAATAATAAACATGGTAATGATAATAGTTGTAATGATAAAGATAGTAATAGTAATTAAAACAATAATATTGATAATGGTAATGTTAACAACAGGAATGATGATATTTAATAATAATAATAATAATGATAATTAAAATGGCAGTAATAATAATGATAATAATTATAGTAATAATGACAGTAATGATAGCAACAACAACAAATAATAATGATAATGATAATGATAAAATAGTGCTGCTGTTGATAATTTGGATAGTAAAAGTATAAGATGATGGCGATAATAACACAAATAATAATAATGATGCGAACTTTAGTAATATCAACAATGACAAATATAGTGATGATAGTAATAATAAAACGAATATTATCATAACAATAGTGAAAACTACGAAAATATCGTTGTGATAATGATAATAACAATAATAGAAAATATTATAAATTACAATGATAATAATTCTAAAGATAACAATAATAATAAGTACAATAACAATAAAAGCAATATCAATAAAATTGATGATAATGATAATAATGATACTGATAACAAAATAATGATAATAGCAACGAGAGTGACAATGATTATAATAGATAAAATAATATTAATAATAATAGTAAAAATTATGATATTATTAATGACAGCATTAATGATAACCGCAATGTTAATGATAATAATTGTTATAATAATAGTACCAATGATAATGATACTGACATTAACAATATTATAATGCTAACAGCCATGGTAATCGTAGTGAAAATATTTCAAGTGATAATGATAATGACAATATAACAATTATGCTAACAATGATAATAGAAATAATTATAATGGTAATGACAATAATAATGATGATAACAATGATAATGGTAACAATGGTGATAATCATAATAATATTAATCACGATAATGATAAAGGTAAGAGTAACAACAATTCTTTTTATTCCCCTCTTTCTTTTTTCTGTCTCTCTTTCTCTTTTTCTCTTGATTTGTCTGTCTGTCTCACTCCTTTTATCTCTCTCCCTCTGTCTCTTCGTGTCTGTCAGTCTCTCTCTCTCCCGGTTACTTTTTCTGTCCGTCTGCGTCTCCCTCTCTCCAATCTCCAATCGCACTCTCTCTCTCTCTCTCTCTCTCTCTCTCTCTCTCTCTCTCTCTCTCTCTCTCTCTCTCTCTCTCTCTCTTCATCCGCCCTCGCCCTCTTTCTCTAAATATATAATAATAGTAGTAGTTGTAATGATAATAACAATACAAGTAGTAATGATAATAATGATTATTATGATAATAATGATAATAATGATGAGGATGATAATGACCATGATGATGACGATTATAATGAGAAAGATAACAGGAACAATAGTAATAATAGTGAAAATGACTCTAATATTAATAACAACAATTATGATAGTAACAGTAATAATAAAGATAATGGTAATAATGATAATTAAAATAATAATATAATAATAACAACAATAGTAACGATAATAACGACAACAATAAGAATAGTAATGATAATACTAAAAATAACAATGATGTTGATAATGATGGTTAGCTGGTTAGCAGGAGAACTCAAGAAGCTATGAACATATTTTTATGATTTGTATTACTATTTATTTATCTATTATTTATTAATTATTATTATTATCATTATTACTTTTAGTTATTTAGTTATTTATTTAGTTATTTATTAATTATTATTATTATTAATTATTTTGTTATCTTTTTTTTTTACCAGAGTTGAGTCTTAGCCCAGCTTAGATGACATTAAATTTTGGAGGTGATCCGGATCATTGTCCGGAGGGTGCAGGGTAAAAAAAAAAAAAAAAAAAAAAGATCCATTAGAATTAAAGAGGTAAACGCGAACGTTACCAGCGTACTTGAGAAAGGGATGACTTCAATGTAATT